ATACGATTTCTTCTTCTTTTCACCTGTGCAAAAAATGAAACGTAACATCTGAATGTCTAGGTGACGCTAAAACGGCTCTTCGATAAGGCACTGACTATGGCACGTTATTGTATGCAGAATCCGTGATAAATTCTACTCTAGCCAGATACAATGAAAAGTAAATGTCAATCGTAAATTCTCCGTTTATAGGGTCATAACGCTGTTTATAGCCTGAGTAATTCTTGGCCAGGTGACCGGCTCTCGTATTCTGAAACACAAATAACAGCGCACGTAATTAGTTTTCAGTCCATTAGCTCTGGTTAAATTACGATAATATTCCCCATGACTCTGGTGTAAAATTAAAGAAGTTATTCGCCGACTCCATCGCTATTCTACCTACGTACTAAAGCAAACAAAAGATTATAGCTGACCCGACACACCAGGATGACCGTCAGTGACCATCATTCTAATTAGCGGGGTCGATGTAATCACTCGAGGACGGGCAGGTTAGGTACGCAACCCGGATCAAGCGAGCGTCCGAGAACTCTGACTCAGATACGGGTCGCGTTTGAGTAGTGTGCGTTCGTTGCGGGAAAAAAAACAAGTCTGACCCGATTACAATCCTTCGGAGCGATAACTACGAGGAAATGAGTGTATGCGCGATTAGCATGACCCAATCTTGTATAAAAAGGGAGTAATGTCAGTAATTTTCCAATCACTTACTCTCAGAACCTTTCTCGCGCGCACGACAAACGCGTGGCAAGGGACCGCGGGGTTATGCATAAATAAAACCAATCACTGTTATTCACGACCCCTTAGATTTTCGCGGTATTCCGTTAGTTTGGTAAGAAAAAATCACAGCCACCAGATGTTAAACGCGTGTTGAGGAGAAATCACTCTGAATCTGGGTCGCTGTTTCACGCCTTAATCTCCCTCCGTGGAACAATTCTCGCGTGAGGCTAATATTTCTTTTTTATTATTATTTCTCTTTTTTTTTTGCGTGTTTGGAGCGATCTTTTTCCTCGAAAGTTGTCGAAGCTAAGTGGAGAGACTTGAGGGTCGGGCGTTGTTTTACCTCATAACACACAAAGTGCACCTCGAGCGCCGGAGCCACAGAGACTTCAAAGCTCACTCTGGAAAGAAAGTTATTGATTAGGGAAATGCGTTACTTGCTCCCGGTTTTCTCCCTTTTCGCTGTTACGCTACACATCTCTCACACTGATAGAAGTCGTGATTTACATTCCCCAACGGCATTCAAAATAATCATAAATTCTAGTTATCAATATATCGGATACACAGAATTACCAGTTGAATAAACCATATTAATAACAGCAGAAAAGTTTAGGAAAGTACAGCCATTGTGTAAATCATACGAGAGTGGAATAGAATCCAAGGAAATACGTGATCTTTCTCTGGGTGTGAGTTGTTGGGGAAATCTGACATGTTCTTGAATGGGCTCACAGCTGCAACAAGTTAGGTGTATGAAATATACTCCAAGTGTGAATTATTTTGACATTAGTGAAGAGGTGTCCAGTTTTCTCATTTTGAAGTGAAGTCTTCCAAGTGTAGGCAATTTTTCGGTCTCGTCTAAAGAAAATCCCTCTAAATTATCCAAAAGAGTAGGTCCGCCGTGAAGGATAGCGCCAGCATTTATCCTGAATTTAACGAAAGAGTTGAGTCAGCCATAAATCAGCGTAGTGCATTAGATTCCAATAATGCCATGTTGAGAGCTGCATGTGTGAGATTCTTGCTGTAACGACTTTGCTGTGTGAGTACAGACGTAAACGAATATAAATCAGAAAAAAAGGTGATTCAGTGTATTTTATTTCTTTCGAGAAGAGTATCAGGTGTTCTGCGCAATGATTCGTAGGAATAGGTATAATTCCTCATAAAGAAGTTACCAAAGAGTTTTTTTATATTTATTATAGCCATAAATTGTGTTGTCAGTACGCGTGTTACCTCGGTGTTCCCTTCCATCCCACACCATTTACTGAATTGTTTAATCGGTAAATTTGAGGGCGGCGGAAGTAAGCTTAACTAAAAGCAGGTGTTGGTGTTGGCTGTGTAAGCTGCCTAACCGAGTGTCGCCACTCATGGGTCCGAGGGGGGGGGGCGTAATGGAGGATAAATAGCGATGTGTACATTGGTGCTTGTATGTCAATACACGCTTCTTACCACGAACACGCATATATATATATATATATATATATATATATATATATATATATATATATATATATATATATGTGTGTGTGTGTGTGTGTGTGTGTGTGTGTGTGTGTGTGTGCGTGCGCGTGTGTGTGCGTGTGTGTTTGTTTGTGTGTCTCTCTCTCTCTCTCTCTCTCTCTCTCTCTCTCTCTTCTCTCTCTCTCTCTCTCTCTTCTCTCTCTCTCTCTCTATATATATATATATATATATATATATATATATATATATATATATATGTGTGTGTGTGTGTGTGTGTGTGTGTGTGTGTGTGTGTGTGTGTGTGTGTGTGTATGTATGTGTGTGTGTGTGTGTTGAAAAATATTATATTGAGATATGATATCCTACATAATTTCTACTTATTTTATACGGCAAGTGGCAACATTCGATTTCCCAATAATGCTAACATACATTATCTCTATACCGTCTGCATTTCGAAAGCATATCAGAGGTGAATAAGCATCAACAACCAATAAATATCGACATGTAAAAGGTATAAAGAAAATGGAGTAAAATATGCGATGATAAAGTATCGAGAGGTTGATTTAAGCGCAAGAGTCAAGTAGACTACGTCCGTGGGTTAAACACGTCACGTAAAGGATAAAGGAGCTAGAATAATATTACTAAATAGCACAAAAAATGGATATGCGTGACCCTTTCACACACCCCTGACCCTCACACACCCCAAACCCTGGACCCCCACACACCCCTGCTTCCATACCCTGGACAACCCACACCCTAGCTAGCCCCTGACCCCGGCCACTACCCACTGTCTGCTAGTTGCGAGAGTATTAATTTTCGAGTAACACAGTACTCCAGTCACGGTCAGCCTTGCGAGTCTGGATACGCTGGACATATTGGGTACATTGATGTGATTTTATAGCGTGCCATTCGTCTCATATTGTGACGTCTACGAGTTCCTATTATGTTTCATTTGATGTATAATCGAAGGTATTTTATTAGGGTAAATAATAACTTTACAACATCTGTTATATAATGACACAATGGCCGAGATTTGCGATACCATTACGCACACATTGCGGACCTGAGTAACCTGTACTTATCGGTATAAAATATGGTTCTATAAAATCCTTGTGATGGCGTCCTCCACCCACAAGGTTGTTAAGTGAAGGAAGGCGGGGCAGGCGATGCAGCACGATGAGTGGTGATGCTTTTATTGGTGACTGACACGTATTCCATGTCAGTCAGAAGCGTTCTATACGCAGTACAGTTCATTCTGTGGGTATAACGAGCTCGGATTGAATGACTGGGTGGATCGCAAAGGAAGGTTATGTGTTAGGGAGCAGTCACACCAAGCCCTTTACCAGATATAATCCGACGCAGATTGCCAGACCATTTTCAGATTGCCAGATTCACCCGATCATCCGTAAAAAAAAAAAAAAAAAAAAAAAAAAAAAAAAAAAAAAAAACATTCAGGCCGAATCGCTACCACAGCGAACCGATTCACCAGTGAATCAGGAGCCTCAGGCTCATTTATCGGAAATATTGAGAGGATGGAGGCGAGGACCGGGGACCGTGGTTATTGACCAAACATTTTTTGGATATGCCATCTACATTTGACTATATCAATTTAAATACTCTCCTTGATTTCATTTAAGGAACAATGATAGTATTGTGATGCTAATCCATATGATAACAAAATAGTCCTGTAAGCATAGTATTTAATGTCTTATATTTGACCAAGTGAACACACTTTACATCACCCTCCTGCAACAACTATTGGACAACTAAAAATGTTGATAAAAAGGCATTACAGTAATGTGTCATATCTGGCATTGTAATGATTGTAACAAAATTGATAAAATATCCCAAAAGTTTATTATTACTTAGTGGAACTACCACTGACAGAACCGTATTTTTGCGACGACTTGCGTGTCTGGTGTGAACGTTTCTTCCGTATATTTTTTCTGTCCTATCTTAGCGTCAGGCCGTAATCAGACCGTCAAATATTTGCGTCAGATTGTGTCCGGGTGCGGGCTTGGTGTGTCAGCTCCCTTACTGCCCTACATATACAAATACCTATATCGTGAGAACCTGAGTAAGCTGTTCGCAAGCGTGACATGAAACCCACTCCGGGCGAACTGCTGAGGCTAAAGCGAAGGTTATCTTTCGAATCGTACGTTAAACGACAGCATTCGCACGCAACGCACTCTACTCTTACATGTATAAACCGCAATGTACAGTAATCTATGTAAATAAGTACTGCACATTCACAACTGTGATATTTATTGTAGAAAATATTTGAGAAATAAAGGTCACGTGATGGTGTACACCTTTCATGAGTAATTACAACTCCTCTCGTGACAAACTTCCACCAGAACACAATTCACATCATAATGATAGAGCGGGACAATCAACGCTCCTTTGGTCGATAACGCTGATGGATCGACAAACATTTAATGTGCGATTGACTCCGGGATAAGTGTGTGTGGGTGTGGGTGTGTTTATATAGGTGTGTGTGTGTGTTCCTACCTTTTGTTGTGTTCGTGTGTGTGTGTATGTGTTTCCGTGTGTGTCAAGGGAAACTTAGCTTACAAGTAATTGTTAATGTGCATTAATGTGTATGCTGAATGCGTTCGT